ATGCCCTAACATAAAATACAAATGTTTACGAGATGTCGGCTAATATAAAATACAAACGCTAACCAATTTCCCTAACACAATAGTAAAAACTTTCACTATACGCCAACGACGAGATCTTTACTATGAACCATTAAACTTTTAGTACTACAAGCAATTGTTATGTGAACTTGAATTAAATGCTACCGTTTAGAAGAGTTCATAGCACAAAATAAAAACGATTACAATTTGTTCTATAATAGAGAGGAAACGTAAATGTCATAACAGCATGCAAGGAAAAGTAAATCAATCCTAATGTTCACTTGATGCTCTTCGTTAAATAAAAGTTCGTGCCAGATGCCCTAGTATAAATACGTATATACATTTAAAACGATCACTAGATATACTAGGTATCTGGGGCCATACTTTCAAAACTCGCTAAGTGAACGTAAGTACTTACGCTCTATTTTCTTGTCTATGATTGGTGGATTTTGCTTGAAAGGCCGTCAATGATTGGCTGATGAACTTACAATCTCTTAACTTTTTTTGAAAGTATGGGCCCTGGAGTGTAAATATTTACTCTGATCATCAAGCGTCAAGCGGGAGCTAGAATGTTTACATCCTATAATGACGACTTTTGAAACCAACATCAAGGAACACATTCGTGAAAATGAGACTGCTCCCAAAGTGCAGTGCGTTATGTTTAAATGTTGGCATACTTCACGCTTTTATTACACAAATAACAATTGCTCCGTCACCGCGTTTTACGTCTTTCACCGAGAACATGTGCAGGAGCACTGCGTGCAACAGTGTCGGTAACAGTCAGCGACGGTAACCACAGATATGAAGTAGTTGTCGAATGACCTTTTCCTGGCTGAACTGCAAAATTTATTCTCATTTTTTCATCGTTTTGTCTCTTTTGCTTCGGCGAATTAGAGATTTAATATAACCTTTAGTAAATATATAGATAGAGGAGATAAACATCTATATATCTAAATAGTAATCAATTTATTATGCACTCTCGAAATTGGTCTTGAATCACTACAAATTTTCTGCGCCGCCAAGAGTGCCGCTCCCGGTGTTACAACACGCGGTCCACGAAACAATGCACGGCGCGCGTGTGTCTGGCACGAGCGATTCAACAGGTCGTGGCCAGACAGCCGGCGGCTGGAAAGTGCGGCTAACATGCGTGTCTTATGAGTGACTTGGTGCTGGCATAAGGGATGGGTTAAGTGGTACTGGCAGGGGTAATTGGTAAGATGATGCCAATAAGAGAAATAATCTCTATGGTAGTGCTAGTCATGGATTGAAATATCAACACTAGCACAAAATAAAAATGACCATGAAAGCATGAGGGAAAGCATGATCAGAAACTTTATGATCAGAAAGCATAACCGAAAACTGACTTTAGAAAGTTTGATAGTAATAAAATGGAATTGGAATGCTCCTATGTTTTGATCTGTAGCTAATGTAGTGCATATACGTAATACTCCTTCATTTTCAATATTATTTTTCTTATGTGATAATACTAAAAAAAAATCCTTTTTTCCTTTGTGAGTTCTAAATACCTATGTATTATTACTAAGTGCTAACAACATACATATGGCAACTTTCAAAGGCATCAAATTAAGGATCAAATTCATTTCATGAGTAGCTAGAACTATTTAAACTCAAACTAAACCAAATAAGCGCATGATAATATGGAAGTGTGTGGTTGTAGCATAAAATTTTACTAATTTATAATACTTCAGAAATTGTACAGTCATGACATGGAAATTTTAAACTAATGGTATGATGGGTACCGGTATATACTTGTGTCATTGTAAATGGCATTCTAATGGTAGAAAAATAATTAAGTGGCAAGCAAAAATCTGAGAGAAAAACTTAGACTGCCATTTTCAGCATGAAGTGGTCTTGAAGCAAGATCTAATCAATGTTCATTTTGCAGCAACAAACCTAGACAATTCTTGGGTGAAGAAACAATCTTTGGCTTATTGGAAATAGTAACACATTCTGCTATGAGGATGCCGACAAGACATGCTGACTCTAAATGTTAGACAACAGCTTAGCATTCATCTCATGGCTAAAGTTCATAATATTATTACTGGAATATTTCATCTACCGTACCAAATAAGACTTGTCCTATTTTACCAAAGTTCACTTTTTAATGTGCATCCTAGAATTTATCATGCATACGGTACTTTATTTAAATCAAAAAATCATTTTGAGTAAAAAATAAGTGTTGATACAACTTTGTGCAGCAGGCACTTAATATCATTCGTGAATCATGATATACATACAATCTACATTGTTCAATCAATGACCATCATTTGCTGTTCTTGAGAATCAAACTCATGAGAAATTTCAGTTTAAATCATAGCACATCTCCAGCAAAACACTTTAATTTCAGGCAACTCACGTAGAAGATAAATAGCTAGGCTAAACAAGAGGCCACCCCATCAGACAGTTTCATGTTATGGCAGGATTTCCAGCCACATATTAGGCTTCAGGATATATTAGTCACAATTTGACCTAATTTAAACAATTTGTACAACATCCATATAAACAATTTATAAAATATTATGAATCTAAGAATGCATTTTTCCCCTCAGGCTCATGAGCAGTCATTTCTTAAGCATGTACATGTCAACTTGTGCTCATGAGATGAAGACACAAGACAGTTTTAAGCCTAAAATAATAAACATAAATAGTCTTAAAAATTGTACATGGACATTAAATTCCATGCCACATAATGGTATTGTATGGTTCTTGAGTTAGTCTAGACTCTAGAACTAGATGCATGTCATACAGACATTTGTTATACACTAATAAATAATAATCAGTCCGTATGGCCTAACATGCATTTTGCAGGTTATACAGACACTTTTTAGTATAGTAAATATATAATATTTTCTGGTCAAACTGTACATTTAATAACTAAAAACTAAACTGAAATTTTTTCATTAAGGCAGCTCTACAATAATTTAGGCAATATTTGTCTCAATTATCATTCAAATGTCATTTTATGATTATGAAGAGTCAGAAGAGACAAAGAGTGAAGACTGAAGACCATACTTCTTCAGTTCTTCTGAAGTTCTGAGCAACTCTTGAAACAAAAAAAAAATGCTCCTCAATGACCAAGAACCGTCATTAATTGAAAAGGTCAAACAACAGAATTCCAACTGAACAACATTGCATTAATGGAATCTAGTACGCAAGAGTCGGAGTGATCATTGCAAGTTTTGCAACTCACCTCAGATTTCAACTCAGAAGACGCAGGCTAGTTAGAATTAGGTCCAAGGTAGCTCAGGGTAAATTATAGATACTTTTAAAGAATACTCTCACTGTTTCACATATTCAATAAGTAAACGGGTTGTCATATAATCGTGCATAACCTTTGTGCAAAAGCGTAATTAATCCACGAACTGAGAATAATTATGTTTCAAGTGATCGAAGGGCCTAACACTGGAGAAACATACACGCACACCACCTCACGAAGTGCCCAGGAGCTAACTGTCGCGCAAAGACAGCTCGCAGCTGTTCTACGCCGACATGGCTCAACGGAATGAGAAAACGGACTATTTCAGGCAAACGCTAAAATATCAAATACACCGTTAAGTAATGCACATTTTCATAGTAAAGTTCCCTTGCACCAAAGAAGAGAGTGATAAAATGGGAATAAACTATGCATTATTATTTAACGAGAAAATCTCCAACGGTGGGTAACAGATTCTGAAATAAGTGGAAGTAAAGGACTTCAAGATATCTTTGATTGTAACTTAGAAGTACGAAGTCATAAGCCAATAACTAACAGTAATATTTTAGAACATTGACCCCAATATTTTTTGCATAAAAGGACTTCAACGTACGTGATTATGCAGCTGTTCAATATTGGCTCAAAGCGAATGTTTCTTGGAACATACGAATGATACGAGTACAAAGTAATTGGCACTTCAAGAGTCAAAACTATTAAGTAGGATTTGTAAAAGTACAGTCTTGCGGCTAACATATAAGGTGTATCAAAATACTTACAGAAGTTGAGAAGTAGATAATAATAATAAGCACCGGACACTTTTAGTCTACCTATGTATCTTACCAAAAATTTTCTGCGAAGAAGAAAATGTTTGAGCGTAATCTAAAAGAAATGGAAATCAGTCATGTAAATTTTATATCTGAAAAGCTTTCATAATATTAAGGTTAAAACTTTATTTTTTCGAGAGCATTTAGAATAACTCTGACACATGACTTCCAATGTATGAAAACTAACCAAGAAGAAAATTTGACAACCACGACAAACGTACCCAACTCCGCACCCCATCCCCGTGGATTGAAAGTTGCAACGCGACGAGCAATGCGGCGCATCCAATGGATAGAATAGAATAGAATTGTCGGCACTGAAGAAATAGGCCCATGGCCTGTTGCCGATCCTTGTAGTTTTCGCGACTTGATTCCACAAGGGATCCGGCCTTTTGAAACCGATCTTTCCATAACTGACGAATTAATTGAGATAGCTGCTGGACTTATTGCCTGGTCCGTAATTTGCTAGGCATTTTAAGACTGAACATATGCTGCTGCATAGCTTCGTCTAGCCAGTTCTTGAAGGTGTTCATACTCGGAGCGTCAACGATGCTATCAGGGAGACTGAGTCGCATTGCAAACTCTCGAAGCCAGCGGTTGACAGAACGGTTGGAGACTAGTGCTGTGGTAAAACATTTAAAATAAACGAAATAGATGCTACATTAGCCGGGAACAATAAAACTACACAGTTTCTTATCACACTAAATTTAAAGGTTTTGTAAGTTCATTCTCAGAAAATTTGCTCCAGATAAAAACACCATAAATTTGGCAAACGGTAGGAGCTACCTATTTTTTCGATATCTAATTATTCTTTTTAAGGAGCGGACATAGAAGCAATCATGAATGAGAACGTTTGCAATACATGGAAGACCAGAGAGACCAGAGCCAGGCTTCGCGAAACTTGTTAGAGGAAGTTAAAAAAAGAAGAATGCAAAGTGGTAACCAACCTGCCTCCGTGTTGACTGAACGCATCGTTACGTGACATTGTTGCGGGCGAGTTGCAATGACCTTCGGCCGAGGTTTTGCGCGCTGTGTTGGCAATGAGAGTCTCATGACTGATCCTGCTTTCACATCAGCCTGACGTGAACTTGAAACTTTAGATGTTGGTCCCTGCATGGGTTTTGTAGTTGTTTTCCTAGTAGACAATGTTGCTTGAAGTGATGAGCTTTTGCTGGAAGCGACGGGCTCTCTTCCAGCAGCCAACACCTGCCTCGTCGTTGCCCGAGGCTTGCCACCAGCTTGTGTCGAATTGCACGACTCTGAATTTGTCAATTTATTGGACAAAATTCCAGCCGAAGACATTGTTTTATGGAAAGATCTTTCGTATAACTTGCAGAGATCAGCACAGCCTTTGCTGCGCTCGGCAATTTCTCAATTTTGTTAGTGAAAGGCTTCCCTTGTTGTGCGAAGTCTTTGCTCAAAATTCGTAGAGTGCGGCACTTTACTTTTGATTTTTACGTATTTTTAGATGAAAACATTTTAATTCAGTATAAACACATCATGGACATCCAACACCAATCACAAAATATGCAACACGTCTAAACTGGTAGGAAAGTAAAACAGTAAAAAATGTTGAATTAATCAACTGTAATATAGACCGATTGCACGGCTACTGGCTGCCCTTATTGAGAGCCTAAAAGACGCGCCTCGGCTGGCCGACTTTTGGCAGCTCATAATTTGAACAAAATGTCAGCATCGACTACACAAACAATAAACAGGGAAGGGGATTTTTTTTTAACAGGGAATTTTTTAGTTCACTTTTTTTCCAGAGTCAATTGTCAATTAACTCCATTAATTAAACAGAACACTTCTAATAGCCTACTTCGACAACGGCTTCACTGCCGAGTAAAGGAAAATATACTCGTAGAAATGAAACAAGTAAATTTGATCGTGTAACCGGGTTACCTATTTATTTTTATCGTAAAATAAATCTTCACATTTCAAATTTATTCACAATTATATTTTATCAATATTTTTGTCATTTGTAGGATAATTATAGCTATCCTGTCTTATTTTAGGGTAAGGAAACTGACCTCCTAGGATTCTAATAAACACACAGTCTTGGCATGACAGGCTCCAATACTCTAATTATATATTGTCTGCCCATGCTCCTTATTTCCATGGTTTTGTTCCATTGTACATTTTTGAACTTTTAATCTGATTTTCAAATACATCTGTAATCACTTATTATTTATTCATGGCCTCTGCGCTAATATTTTAGTTGTCTGAGAGACACAAGTATCGGTAGGTCATATAGGGTTGACCTCACCCGCAAATGCGCCGGCAACATTGTTTCTTCTCAATAAGTGGCCAAAAGACGTCAAAATGAAGAGTAAATCTATGACGTCAATGCTACAACTCTGGCGTCAGATAAGATTGATAGAAACAAGAGCCTGACAGTGAGGGTGCTATTCTGGTGGTGACGGCGGAGAAGATATAAAGTAGCAAAACCGTGAGAGATATTGAGCATAGAAAGGGAATTAACGCTTCACAGTCAGCACTACTCACTAATGTCATATCATAGTGACAGATGTTTTTTTTTTTTTGTTGAACGCGTGGATTGCGCTACAACATAAAAGTTACGTGCGTCACTATACGTGCACTGTTGCGCACGGTCCGGCATTGCACAGTCCAACATTACACTCTTTAGAGGAACAATAGCAATCATTTAATTAACATCAATGTAATGAAGGTATCAACTGTCGTTTATTAACAAAAGTGTTTGGGAAATGTATATATTAATAGTTAAATTATTATTTTCCATCGAATCAATGCATTACATTTTTTACAAAATAATTTAATAATTGTTAATCAATTATATCTTATATTTTTCGTCGGTCTTAGGCAATGCGTGATTCACCAACTTCAAACTTAATGAGCATAAAATATTTTTAGCAGCCAAGTACCGACGATTCCAAACGATGGCAAAGAGAGTCTTGCGTCAAACATCTACGCTACGCTGCTCTAGTTCTGCGATGCTCTAGTTAGGCGATAGTCGAGTTAAGCGATACTCTAGTTATGCTATTCTCTAGATATGCGAAGCTCTAGCTGCACGATTTCTGGTACTGCGATACTCTAGTTATGCGATGTTCTAGTTATCCAAAGCTCTAGTTCGAGGGTGCCCCACTTTAACGCGAACAATAGCATACGGGTGTTACTGAGCGATTGATATGTTCGAACTCATGAAGGAGAAAAGTAATAAGAATGGCGTACTTGTTGGGGCTTACGATGTGGTAACGGATTGTGAATGCAGGCAACACGACGCGATCTCAGGAACTCAACAGAAATAGACGATATATTGTCTATTTCTAATCAGAGAACAGCACACGTTCGTTTAATGTCACGACCGAGCGCGTTGCAGTTGCATGCCACTCGGCCACCCCTTCGAAAATCGACCTGCACCTTTGTATTTAATGGCCTGCATGAGCGAGTAATTCGTGTCCCAAGATCTGCAAGCTAACTATTTATACTCATGATATACTGGCAAAGCATTTAGCTCACTCAATTACCTGGTAATACGAATAGTAAGAGAACTTGATGTCTACTTGAGGAGTTGAATAACTGTGAGTGAGCACCAGGGCCCACTCTATCACCCTAATAGCGACATGGCCCACTCTATGACCCTAATAGTAACATGGCCTCCTCAATTAATCTAATAGTAACATGGCCCACTCAATGACCCTATAGTAGCACCATGGCCCACTCTATGACACTAATAGCAACATAGGCCACTCAATGACCCTAATAGCAATATGGCCCACTCAATGACCCTAATAGCACCATGGCCCACTCTATGGCCCTATGTCAGCAACATGGCCCACTCTATGACCCTAATAGCACCATGGCCCACTCTATGGCCCTATAATAGCACTATGACCCACTCTATGGCCCTAACAGCACCATGGCCCACTCTATGGCCCTAACAGCACCATGGCCCACTCTATGGCCCTATAATAGCACTATGACCCACTCTATGGATGTGGGATTTAATTTGTTTGTATCTTGGAGTTGGTAGAGTCGAAATTATGTTAGATATTGTGGCGGCCCAATATTTATTTGTGAGCTCTAAATTTTTGAGTGCAGTGCGTTTTCGTAGCTAGTTACCGTACTTAGCTCTTATTTCCAGTCAAAATCGATTTTCACAATGGCAAAATTTTAACGTTGCAACCGACAATAATAAATTCGATGGTCAAATTTTGGGAAGCGATTTGAGTGCAATAAAGAAAAAAATTAGTGTAAATCAGTTTTGTATCCTTTACGACTGACTAATTATTATATCAAGATATTTTGGAGTCATATCAAAGCAGAAGAATTTAAATCGTTGCGAACACCGGAATTGCGAACTGAGGTCGGGTAGATCCTGCATAGCAATTCAAGATTCAACAATGACCATTGACCATACTAGTACAATAGCCCACTCTATGACCATGAGAGCACCAGGGCCCACTCTGTGATCCTTATAGCACAATGGCCCACTCAATGAGGCCCACTCTATTGTCCTCTAATACTAATCCAGACAGTGAAAGTATACGCAGGCCTAAGAGCCCTATAGGCCTCCTAACAAGTGGATCTTGAGCGCCAGGTGACGACAAAATTATTCTGAATTTTTCGCACATCGAAAGTCTTAGCTTTATATTCGTGACAAAATGATGACTTTTCTAAGGTTGAAAAGATTTATAGCTAATTTCAAAAATAGCTATCATACATCACTGTGAGGTCCTTGACCGTTTGACGGTCTGCATGTAAGGCTATATCACGTTCATTTGAGTGTGTGGTCCTTGACACCCAACATGTGGGGCTGCCGCGCTCATTTGAGTGTGTGGTCCTTGACACCCCACATGTGGAGCTGTCCTTCTCACATATATAGCTGACCTGAGATAAAAAAAAGATAACTGTGTAGGAAATAATACAATATTCAGACGATCGAAAAGCCCCTTAGTTTTTCCGTGCAGTAGGTCGACGCTCAATGATTGCACTAACTGACTAACGTCATCGAGGCGTCTGTGTTAAGCACAAAGGATTGCTTGAATTGCTATGTAATCATGACTTTAATGGCAAAGTAAATAGGTACCAAGAAAATGTATTATCTATTAAAAATATGGTTGCTTTTATCATTTTTCCCGTATGATGCGTCATTGACTGAGCATTTATTATCCCGCAGGTCACAGCGAGATTGTTCGATGCGTTACTTAAAACCATGTACCTTTCTATTCACCAACGATTCAGTTTTGTACATCAACTGTAACGTTCCGTACACTGAATGCAACGTTTCTTACATTTATTATGTCGTTCTATACATTAACGGTTCCGTATCGTACGTTAACTGTTTCGTTTTGTGCATTGGATTAAACAATTCGGTACATTGACTCCTCCGTACCGCATATGTAATTCACCCTTCGGTCCTTTCAATACAACGAACTGTGCATTTACTTTTCAGTACATCATTACAGCAAATTTGCAGGGAATCAATTGTAAATCAACTATCATTGACTGTTCTGCGCCATAAATTAAGTGTACAGTAGAAACATTGAGGGTACATTATCAGCCATTATTAATTCATCGACTGCACTCTAACATTAATGGCATTCAGAGCCTGCGCAGCTCAGTCTCGCACGGTATATGTATATCTAACAGCACAGTATCGTGCACCAACCGCACACTGACACTGACGGCAAGTCGGTAAGACAGTTAGACGTCCCGTACGCGGCAGTCACAGAGGCGCAGTTAGGACCGTACCAGCCAGCGGTCAACGGGGAAACCTAAAAACCAGTTGCTCCTCCGTCATCCAAGCACCTTCTCACGCTCAAACCTTAAAGTGGCAGATGCAGGCGTAATTCTTGACATACGGTTATCGTACGTTTTAAGTTGTTAGGACAATTCATAGTGGAACTTACGTACATAGTAGGTGGAATTTATAAAGTAAGAAAATATGAGCGGATAGATCGATCACGGTAATGGCCATGCACTCTTGACCGTGTGGTTGAAGGAGCTACTCTTATAACCCTGAAACCAACTAAATGTTTTAATTTCTGAATGTTCGAAAAATAGAGGATTTTTCAAATGAAAAACGAGATCAAATTTCAAGGAGTTTAGACTTTAGAAGTCGTAACATAACGTGACCAGCTTTGTAACGCGCTGGATGTCGAAGATTTTACGAGGGAAAAAACCAGAATGAAAATTTCAGATCTACTGTCCTAGTGAAGGTTAACTAAGAAATTGTAGAAGAAGAATCGCCATTAATCTTCGTGAGCTCATTGAGCTTTTTTGGTGTCAATAATTACATAAATTGAATGATAATCGCAACAATTTCCTTCCAGCACATTTTGCTTAGGCGACAATGTCAGCTTCAAGTTCATATTCCAAGACTATCAAACGGCAATGTTTCTTTGAAAAGTCTATCAGTTACAACGATGCATTATGCAGGGCTCTATGGCAAATTACTCACAAACTGTCAACTAATATGTCTTTATTTCTTCACATAACTATAACAATTCTTAAGTGTGTCAGGTAAACTAGGACACACTGGCGGGAAGACACCGATCTGAGGTTCACGCTCACACGCGCCACGGAACGCGTCGACACATCAAACCCTCACCACGCCTGGAGCAACACTGGAAACTCATGACATTGACAAGTGTCACAGAGTTGCCATACGGTGGCAAGAGAAAACGGCCAAGTCAGCCACAAAAAGGCCTAATACTGTCCCAATTCAATTTTAATAAGTAAATTACTGACAGGCGATGAAAATTGTCTTTTTTCTTTTTTTCACATTGAAAAAACATGAGGTTTTTAAAATACAAATATTTAATTTTAATTTACAATACATTATTTTAAATACAACCACGGTACTGAAATTTCGCAATTCCTAAGACGAGTATTAATCCCAGAATTTACGGCACAAAAAAAAAAAAACATGAAAAAGCTAAAAAAAGTACATTTAGAGGTGGAATGGTGGAGCGTCTTAAGTTAACATTTGAAAACGATATGAAATATTTAATTCAACACTTTTGTTAAGTTAAACCAAATTATATAAAAAGGTAAAATTGAAATTTCAGACACATTGTTTTATTTCAAACGAACCTTAGCTCTACTCTGCTCTAGTTTACCTTCCATCATTATTACTCCGCTTTAACAGATAAATTAATTTCATGAAAGAAGAATAAATAAACGGAATATTAAATCTCTGGGATAATCAATCCCGATCAAATATCGGATCGTCTACAAGGCTATAATGTATTGAAAAATGTAACTCGAAGCAATTTATAGAACAAAAAAATTTATATGTCAATAGAAGTAAAAAATTCCATTCCATTTGGAACGCAGATCAAATGGAGGTGCTGCGTTCAATGAGGATTTGTTTTCTTCTTCTAATAAATCACATGACAGCAATTTGAGAATTATTTACATTAATGAAAAGACTATCGCTTTGACCATGGTTAGATAAAATCGACCACAAAGAGACCTACACATAAAAACAACGATGTTCTATAGTAAAGCTGGTTAACTTGCCGATTGTTCTATAAATAAATATACGAAACTATCACGTAAATCTGATGCTGCTCGTAAGCTTGCTTTTCGCTGATGCCAAGACCTACCAAGTGTACAACTTTAAAATAACGTCGATTAAACGATTGTTTAAGCGAAATCAAGTTAATGAACTCGTCATAAACGTTGTTTCAACGTCATTTGTCAGGAGAGGAACAATTAAGGGAGCTTTCAGGCGCTGTGCGCGGTGGCTGCCTCTGATGCGCTTCATACGCTCGCTCTGATATACGCTTCATACGCTCGCTCTGATATACGCTTCATACGCGCGCTCTGATATACGCTTCATACGCGCGCTCTGATATACGCTTCATACGCGCGCTCTGATATACGCTTCATACGCGCGCTCTGATATGCGCTTCATACGCGCGCTCTGATATGCGCTTCATACGCGCGCTCTGATATGCGCTTCATACGCGCGCTCTGATATACCTGTCTCTTATACACATCTAGATGTGTATAAGAGACAGCGTATGCATATACCTCCCGTATGCATATACCTCCCGTATGCATATACCTCCCGTATGCATATACCTCCCCGTATGGAATGCATACATGGAGGAGTATTGAATGCAACACGGATATATAATCATTGGAGGTCTTATAGGCATTTGGGCATTTACGAAATTACGAGGTACATGAGTGTAGATAGGGATTACAAATTGTTATTTCAATGTTATTGAATATTACAAACAGAATTAAATGCTGATACGAGGTATTGAATGAAACACGGTAGTCGCGAAATTTACTAAGTACACATGGTACTAAATGTGTACTTAGTAAATGTAATAAATATGTAATAAAATAAATGTAGTTTATTGCCGAATGCGTACTCTTGTTATTGACCATGTACACTAGGCATTAGATGTGTTTAACAGGTATATTAATTTGTAGGTTTATATAGTGTCAAATGTGAACCGTTTTTATTAAATGAAATATGCAGAGAATTGAATGTGAAACTTGATGCTTGATATGGAAACCGAATATTATATACGTACATGTATTGTAGACAGTGTACACATGTTTTTAAAATGGCACACTTTAGCACTTTATATTAAATGTGCCCACGGAGGCGCTAATATCAGATGACTGAATGGGATCTTAGCTCACATCAGGAATCCCTCGCACGTCAAAGAAAGTTCTTCCGTTAGGATATCGCAACACCTCCACACTCCACCCACCCTGTCCTCCACCAGCGCAACACATATAACACCCACTTGCCGCATAGACTCGGTTACTTCCTACACACTTCAGGATTTCACAGCTAGCCTTACTTAGTATATAACCAAGCTCAATTCACCTTGACGGTTTAAGCGTGAAAAAAAAAGTAAACAGACTAGCCTTTTCTTATAGAGTTGGCGGGAGAAGCTTTCATATGACACGTATTTCAGCCTTTACGTAAACCTGCATTTCCCGTTGACAAGTATAAGCCTGAGAAATACTGACAACACTCCTCTTTTGAAATTCACTGGGAATATTCAAAGCTACTGTAAAAAAGCTAAATTAATCTGTCATATAATTAAGATCTATGATTATTTCAGCTTCGTCATGTCGCGGAACGGAAGAAAGTTGCCACAATCACGGACAATGGTCACCGCAGGGCACCGTTATTGGCACGTACCTGTAGCAGACTTCAGGAACCGAGCGAGGCATCCTTGCATCTCGATCCTAGAGACCGTCACATGGCGTTGCACTATCCCAGGCATTGTAATCAAATTTTGTTAAAGCGCTTCACGGTATATTTGAAATTAAATTCCACAAGTGTTTCATTTCAAGTCATGAGAACAAACAAGTCCGCGAAGTGCACCTTAAATTGCTTAAAGGCTTAAGCTATGTGTTAACATCGGCAAACCTGAAATTATCCTGGTAATACTTCCTGAAGGCACTGCAATTAATCATTTATACCCACTTATCAACCGTACGCTAATCTTATAGAATTTGACAGTTATCAATGAAGAAAAGGTTTCGTAGCCAGTTCTCAACTAATGATATTGCCATTTCATAACCGAATGACTACACAAAATCAACTCGATCTTGGCATTCGTGCCCTTTCAAAACTAGTTGATCTAAAATCTAAATCAAATTAAAGGCCCTGCTATTATTTAACAAAATTAAATTTGTCGAGGTTGCCTTGAAGAAAGCATAATGTTATTATTACATTTAACAAAACTCTTCTTGGATAAATTAGTTACTTTCACAGTGATTGATGTTCCAGACAACAGTAATCTGCTATCAGCATGACTTCAACGCCCCAACGCGGTCAATGAGGAACTGGAAGACGACAGCTTTCGAGACTAGCGTTGCGCAGCGCCCACCACTAACGTGAGTTCACCGAATCCTTAATTCCTAACATATGAACATTCGAACGTTTCCAATAGACGCCTTCAACTTTATTGTAAAAAACGTGATGTGTGGTGACTGAGAGACTTTCTAGATAACATTTTGCACCTAATGTTGAGTTATATTGAACTATTTCTCCATTGAAAACTCGCTCGAAAGAAGTACCATTGGAATTGAAAATTGACAAATAAATAGTTTTCTTTCAGCTTGCACTGCACAGTGTACATCCTTTGGAACCCTTAGTGAATCGTGCAAATCTGCTCTTTTGCAGTATAACCTAGTCAATTTTTAAAAGTTTATATGGCTTATGAATATGAAAAGATATTATGCTTTCAACTAAACAGCTTAGTACAAACTGAGTGTTAGCCCCTGAATGGTATACGTCTATACGTTAAGCACTTACAGAAACCTTCGCATTATACACAAAAAACTAACATGGAATTTGCGAGACTTCGTCCATCGCAATCATCTAAATATTCGAAACTTTGAAATGAAAAGCTTTAGACGTTTACCAAAATTACTTGAATGCCTTCACTCGTATGTCACCAACGCTCGGTCGTTTGAGAGGAACTGACACGGGCGTCAAGACAAGAGCCCGAGACCGTGCAGTCTGGTGGTTCTCCGCCTAGTATTTACATGAGAATAAAATGCCTATTCTTCTAGCACCCTAGTAAGGGATGCGCTCGCACAATATATCATTAACAATTCCCCAAGAAAGGACTTGTGCTTCCCGCCCTGATTTTCCAAACATGGCACCGGTGTCTGTCACATGGAGCCAAATATTGAGTCTGCAACACCTGAACAGACAACGCTACTTTACGCAGTCGGAAAACTGGGACGGCAGTCACAAGTTTCCTTTAATTTTCCAAATGAATCACGAACATTTATTCGAAAAATAATGTCATTTGTACGAGAGCAAATAAAACAATAAGTGAAAGGGAAGAAGACTTTGGCACAGTTGTGTCGCATTGTCATCACCTTTAATCAGTCGTCTCTGACACGAACCTCGATGCCCGTCAAGGTTTTAATTTCACATAGCTCGCCAATACCAGCCCTAATTTGTTTTATGCTTATGAAGAAGTCACAGTTGATGGGAATACACTTGAATGTCAACAACACTCATTTATAATGAAAATTTTTCAATTTAATTTACAGTCATGTATGAATTTTTCCGCATAATTTTTCTTCGAGAAAAACTTTTTTTTGAATAGACTCTAATGTCTCCAGATCAAACTAGAGCAGTCGACGAAGCTTGGCTGACTGAGCCCACGTTTAAGGACCAAACAAGCATCGTTAGTCCATGCGCTTATCGGCGTTTAGAAACGTACAACATAAACTTACGACAATCATAGGATTCACGATCATTTCTCAAACAGTGTTAATGCTGCTCCGAATTAGAGTGAGAAGTCGCAGGTATAAGATTCTACGACGTTGCAACATTCCAGGGCTTGCAGAACAGGGAGCTCTTGGATAAACAACGCAGAAACGAGGGTAACAACGCAGAAAAGCTATCTAAGTAGTTGGTTAGTGAAATTCAATGAAAAGCAAGACGTTTAGTAGAGTATATTTGGATGGCAGAGGCACAGCAAACGATCACGATGCACTTCACCTCTTTATTAATTTATTGAGGGGAAGCATACAAAAACTATATAAAATAAGCAATAAAATTATCATTAATTAATTACCAATGGCCACAATTCAGCAATCAACGAATTACCTACGATTTATTTAATCCCTTATTGTTTCCAATCGGAAAGAAAACTAAACCGTGTTAATGTACCAATTTACTATAGTTTAGACGATAATGCTTATCAACCTGCAACAATTTTCAAGAGAGACATGAATTTTAAATTTGCCCGTCAGCAGACAAGAACGGTTTGCCAGGTAAATCGTTTTGGGAGAAGATGCCGTGGTGCAAGTATAAAGCTTTGCTGATCTATACTGTAAGCCAACTGTTGACTTCACTGTACATAAATGGAGAAATATAACGCAAAGCATCATCAGTCCACACACTGTAATGTTCAAGGCCCGCACGCTAAATAATACATATATCAAGTCGCTGTACACCCAACGTACTTATAAGATTGTAAACTTGGCGCTGTCCCCATACTATTTTTATGTTATCCTCACGTTGTGGAGTAAAACGGAAGTCGCTACTGCTGCATAGTGTAACCTATAACACCTTTCTGCATTCTGTATCCAATAACTTAAATTCTACGCTGTACAAATGGCACACGTTTGCTTACAAGCTAACCTACCCTAACTCAAGTTTCATCAGGGCTCCCTCTCTCACTTCGAGCGGACTCTTTGCAAGATCTTTCCTCGCAAACCACTCCACAATGAAAACAATGAGTGACCATGTTATTTTATCATGCACTTACAAAACTATAATGACCTTATGCGCAATGCTCTCATCAAATCTTTTTAATTTCATTGATAAAATAAACTAAATTTGGCACAGAAACAAATTTTTACATGTTTCGTACATAATATTTTATTAATACCTCTATCAGCGAATTATCGTTTACCGTCGATGGCTTAAAAGCTACATCATAATTCTACGATAGTCGACGGTTTGGCGATAATCGTTGCAATAATGCATGAGAGTCATCGCAAATATAAATAATTGTACGATGATCTAAGCATGTACGATCATCGGAACGTCTATAATCATAGAATATGCATGCATCGGCGAATGCTGTACCTGGTGACAATAAAGAGGATAATCAAGTTTGCGTTGAATATTTATATGAGATAAGATGTATAAGTTAACGTTGATTGAAACCATTTATCAGCTGTGGCTACGAGACAAGCACAGAACTTGAGGCGTGGGTTCACTGCAACCATCGCTTGATTAAGAATAGTTTTAGTAGGGGGAGGAGCGACGGTAGGAACTCTCGACGTGTTGCTGACGCGAACAGACATACTCCTCGCTTCAACAGCTGTCCAGCTCTTGTTCAATGAAGACGGTTTGCTGGGTTTTCATCTGAATAGGTCGTTCGTTTTTTGATCAACTGTTTAGTCAGTTTACTTGCTCTTCACCTGTTCCTCATCAATTGGCTGTTCACCTGTTCTTCACCTGGACACACTGTTCTACGTCGTTAGCTGGAGGGGAAAGACAAGAAAGACAAAACAAATGAACACCAAAAAACAGACAGAAGACTCAAGAAAAAGAGCAGACTGAAGGTCAATTCCTGGACCACTAATGCTGACGCAGCAAAAAAAGGTTTCGGAAGACCCAAAATGTCAGTCATTGTACACATTGTGTAATAACCATAAAATCTAGGTAGTTGTTAATCACTGATGCAGTGGAAATTCCAGGAGCAGTTAGCAACGACAGAAATAACAGGGTTTCAACAAAATAATTCAATAAAATATCATCGAACGAAGCATCTTATGTAGCGTAAAAGTTTAGGCATTTATATGAACATCGGTACTCATCAATTTGCACTCGAGATGAGTCAACAGTGTTATAAAGTAGCACTCAAACTTCCCAGGGCTGAGATGTGAGTGAGAATAAGTAAAACCAACTCCAAAGATTGATCCAAAAATGTGCATAGAATTGAACATAGTGAACAAAAATATAATGTGTTGACTACGAATGCAAGGGAACCTGGAAGTAAAATGCAAGTGTAAATAGGCATGCGGCAAATATACGAGCACGTGCAAGACCCAAATTTAAGAAAGCCTCAATATTCAATATATACCGAGCGCAAGAGCGTAAGCGAGGTTACTTCACATAAAGCCGTTAATAATTAGTTTCGGATATGAAGAGGACTCAATATAATCTCAATATACTATGAGTGTTATGCTCAAAAAGAATAAAAAGGTTATGAAGAGAATTACTGATGATATCTACAAGCAGTGCATAATTTATTTGAGATAAACTAAGTAGGAGTCGAAAAATATGTACAGTTAGAGAATTAATTAAATTGAAGAAAAATAGAACTATTCAAGCGGCAATAACGTGTCGCGCAAACTACTAGAGTGTCATTAGTCTCGAATTTTGAAAATCCTATTTCGAAAATACTATATTCTTAATGATACCCTCCCGAAGCTTTTTTGTTCTATATGGATTACACTCCCATAACTTAACCGTTTTTGCCACTTCGGATTAAGAATAACGATACATGATAGGACAACAAAAATGTAGGATTATACATGTCAATAGGAGTAGACATGCTTACCGTTGCTGCATGAGAAAATCTCACGCCCATACCGGATAGTGCATAATTCATATACGTTCATCATTTCTACTAAAGGTGCTTGTACAGCGTTCAGTGTACACGTGGGCAAGCATCAACCGCGACCGATTTTAGTAATACTTGCCTCGTGTAGAGGGGGATGACGTGTTGTAATACACTATTGATTGGGTGGTGATCTTTAGGAATGGGTCGCAAATTGGGAGAGAGGGCTGGTGTGCGAAATAATTATGCGAAAGGCATAAATTAATTATTACCAAACCATTATTACCAAACTAGTCCGTCTGGAGCCTCTAAAGGCAAACACTCGCGGTTTCCCCGATGAGAAAATACTGTCATAAAGTACTTGCCTTGTGTATAAACCCACTGGCAGGTAAAACTGAAGACAATGACTTGTAACCGGTACTACTGTTTTCTAAAATTTGTCACGTGTCAAGTTAAACCACAAATTACCAAGGCAGTGGCAGACAGAAGAGCATCTCGTTCGTGTCTGGTGCATGGAGTTAACAGTGCAGTACGCTTACCTAAGTTACTTATTAATAAAAATTCAGATGTCGTAGTTCATGTCAACCAAAAAGCATATCTTTCATGCCCAAAAATCTTGACAGGCTTCATTCTAGAGCAACTACAAAGCTAAATCATCCACAGAGAGCCAGAACTACAGAGGCCAAGGCAAGCAATAGGGCAAATGCATCGAGTACACTAATGCCCGAAATGAGCGTGAGCATTGCCAGCAAGTAGCAGTAACCAAGGAACATCTCTAGCCAATCGAAGTCACTGAATACGTCCGATTGTGCACACGTCTCACCTGTTACGTCATCTGACGACTGTGGACGGACAAGATCCGGCGTGTGACTTTCCCGTGATAATGGCTCGACAGGCGGATAAGGTGCCTCGCGAACATCGTCCAGTTGGGTATGATTTTCTGAATAGTCTTGATGATTTTCTGACGCGTCTTGATTTTGACTATTTTCTGACGCGTCTTGATTTTGACTATTTTCTGACGCGTCTTGATTTTGACTATTTTCTGAGGCATCTTGATGTTGATGATTGTCTGAGGCGTCTTGATGTCGATGATTTTCTGAGGCATCTTTATGTCGATGATTTTCTGAGGCGTCTTGATGTCGATGATTGTCTGAGGCGTCTTGATGTCGATGATTTTCCGAAGCGTCTTGATGTTGAAGATTTCCCGAGGTATCTTGATGTTGATGTGTGACTGAGGACTCTAATTGTAAAGGTTTGGCCATTTCTTCATGCCTTGGATTCATGCCAGACGTGACTTCTTTACATTCCTCATTTGTTTCATTGTCATGGAATTTTATAAGCCGCTTCACACAGACGTCAACATGGTTGGTTTGTCGCTTCAACTGATCTCCCTTTGAAGTATCACAAACCTCATTTTTTTCAAGACCTATATCGGCTTGCAATTCGTCGTGTTGATATCCATCAAGCTCCAGCATCTCTGCCGAATTACTTTTTGCCTCCGAAACATTCATTTGTTGCTCAAGTGAGCAAGAGTCAGGCGGAATTTCCATATCTAGTTCATCAGGATCAACAAATTCAACGGCATGAATTTTTATCAGTGATTGGACTGAATGCGGTTTCATAAGAGCGCAGCTAATCGATTTATTTTTGGCAGTTTCCTTGATGTCAGGGTTTAACAAAATACCGCTTTGAGTCGTAGAAGCTGCAAATTTCGTCGAATAAAATTCGCTTTCTCCTGATATGCGCCTCTGAGAAGGTTCACTGCGAATTTTTTCAACCCTTTCAAAGTCTTCGTCCATTTTGTGGGGTAAATTCTTAGAAATTAAGGCAGATTCAATAGCTGTAGACCCTGTGTACATACTGCTGGATTTTTGGACAATGTTCTCGGCACTACTGGACTGAACGGTGGGTAACTCTGAAGCAAAGTTACAATTCTGACGAGTCGTTTGCAACTGTTGAAAATCTTTGGTAAAACTGCAATCAATATCTCGAAAAGATAACTTTTTACTAGACTTTTCTGCTCTCACTATTTTGCTTGGGCTTGGAGTAACTTTGAGCATCATATCCTTCCTTTTATTAAGTTCATTTTTCTTAGCTTCATTCGAAGCCTCGTGTGGATTGTCAATACCCTCGTCTACTTGGTTCGTCTTGGTCGAAGTCCCATGATAAATCTGACTGCTTAGCTCAACGGCCACGTCGAGAACGATCTTCGAGGCGTTGGCAATGGTCATCCCCGAATGTGTTTGTTCTTGAGCAAGAATCTCAGAGCGATCGTCGTCCTGATGATTCATGCTTTCGTATTCTGAATGGCTTTCGTCTTCCGTTTCATCATCACTCCTCAAGTACCGCGGCTCGTTAGAGTACACCAACTCTGATTTATCAGTGATTGTTCTGACTTCTTCCAGTATTTCTGCATTACAGAAGTCATTTGTATTCTTAGTATTCTTTGCCAAATGTTGTGCTTCCTCTGACGATCCGCTTTCAACCGGCTTAGAGGATTCAGTATAATTTTTTATTATAATGTCTCCACCGAGTATAATATCATTTTTGTCTGCAGCGGAGGATTGAACTAAGTGTGCATTCTCATTACACAAATCAGAACAATTCTCCAGCGATGAAACTTTTACGCTATTTTCAATTAATTCTTCCTTGTGATCCAAAGGTGCGTTTTGGGAAGACCAAGAGTCACGACGACTGCCATGACCCGGTGGCGGGATGGAAGAGGACCTCGCAGGTGGTTTGGGCGAGGCCTTAACCATGGATGCTTTACAATTGTCATCACTTCTGTCAGCGCAACGACCTATAGAATCAACAAGATTTGGATCAGAAAATAAGTATTCTCTACTGGATAGGTATTGATCAATTACTCGATCATCAAGTAATTTGACGCCACTATGTTCATACGGTGATTCGGTTTTGCTATCATAAAGACTACATTTTCGAGATGTTCGAATAAATTTCTGATCAGGAGCTATGGATGGTAACGAATTTGCCCTCTTGGCTCGTCTTAATACCGACTCCGATGCTACAACCATCGAATTGACCTTGTTAGTGTAAGTAGCAGCTTGAACAGGCAAAGAAGACGTTTCCGAACTACCAAACCCCAAGGCATCGTAAGCACCATCGTTAGACAAGCTCCTCGTGAAATTGTTAGTCAAACCAGCACCAAACTCATTGCCTGAAGATAACAAGCCACAAGATTTGCCAAGAGAATTAGTTTTTACATTATGAGAGTTACTGGTAGAGAAAATACGCGAAACAATCTTTGAAGTGAGAGGCTCTTTAGAAGATTTATTAGCCAATGTTGTGGTCAGAGAAGGAAGACTGAAGTCCAACATAGAAGACGAGGCATGTAAAGATTGCCGAGCTTGAGAAGATACATAAGTAATAGATTGCTGAAGATTTGAAGAAAGAGGAGCTGAAGAAGTCACGTCAGGGACATTATTAATTTCAGGACTACAAGGAAGTACACATTTACCTTCACTGCTCGCTGATCCCATAGCCATCGACAAGCGGATGGCATTCATGATATTGTGTTTGGCGCTCTTAACTTCATACTTCTGGTAGGCACTTAATGGGTTCTGGCTTTCATCATTTATACCAGTTGTGTTTTCAGGTGATCGAGGTTTTTCCGCAAGATGAATGTTGGCCGGTGACTTCTTTTCCAAACTTGTGTTCGCAACTTCAGATGTTATTTCCGAAGATCGTGATCGATCGGCAGAAGAAGAACGAGTTCTATAACTTGGGGCGTAGACTCGACTGTAAGTAGTGGGTTTAGTTTGCGGTTTGTAAACTTCATCGTCATTCTCGGTGTTAGAAATTGTCGAAATGAGCGACTCGAGTTGAGCGACAGGGAGTGCTGAAGCTGCGGATGCCGTACTATCAACTGTGGGTAAGGCAGGAGTTGTCATTGGTTTACGATCTTCAGCCTTTTTCTCTATCAAATAAAACGGCTTAGGCTTATTGTTGAAGACACTGTCAGAGGGCCTATACAAGGTTTTGGTGATTAAACCCTCATTAGTCGAAGCGTGGTTAAGAGCTTGGATTTTGACTAGGCGTGGAGCAGTGAGATCAGTAGATGTGCCGTGGGCGCTAGAAGTATCAGAAAAAAATGGCACCTCGCATGTCAAAGCTAGCATGTCCATAGAGAATTCATCGGGTCCTCCAGTCGGAGCCCGCGCTTCTCTGATGATGGCACTGCGAATGTCCGGCTGGGACACAGCTTTCGTCGAGCTAAGATCAGCATTTATTTCAGGATCATTGAGGTGAGCGCGGTCAAGCCAGCTGGGAGTATTACGGTTGCTGCGCAGATACTGGACATCAGAGCTACTCTCATCAAATGGTAAATCACGATGACCATTTCTCTTGGCTTCGTTGTGATGTTTTACTTTTCTCGGCGTTTGGGAACGGTTCTGATCTCCACGTGTGGGTTTGTGAACCTTTACTCGATCCGCTGACTGAGAGCGCATGTTTCGCCTGGTAGCCGAATCGTTGCATTCCGAAAATAACTCATCGAATCCTGAAGCGTTAATAGACTTTCCACGCTGATCCCGTCTTAGGTTCCTGAACGCTAGATCATCCATCGCAGGATCAGGCACCGCCCGTGGCAAAGACTTGGACTTACAGAGATCATTTGGCTGAAGATGTAGGTAATTATTGGGAGAAGCTTGGGTCGTAGGTCCAATTGGGATGCCAAAGGGTGGTTGAGGATCTATGACTTTCAATGCGTTGGCTCTCTTGATGCTACGTAAGGAAGCATCGTCATGAACGATGTCAGGCTCATGCTTTGACCCTCTCGGTTGACTCAACTCTGGCTCAGAGGCTGAGAGGTGGGCTTGCGATATCAAGAGATAACTAGGGGTAATTTGAAGAGCCTTCAAAGCATCTGATGAAGTCTTGGCACTTTGAAGACACCTACGGTAATGCATATCATCTTTTCCAGAATTCGAGTGATCTTTTTTGCGGCCAGTGCTCGGAGTGCGCGATCGGCCTCTGTCATTTTGAGTAGCGCTGGCCAACCCATCATCATGAAACTCCTGACTGTCGTCTAGACTGTCATCTCCGTCAAGCTTCAAGCTTCGATAAAGCTCCTCCAATTCATGCAAAGCCTCCTCAAAATTGGCGCACCGACTTTTTTCGAGTTTTCTCTTTTCTCTTCGATATGCTTCTTCAAACTGCCTCTGCTTTTCAGCTTTAGTTTGTAGCAAGTTTCTTTCCTTTTCTAAAATCAGTTGCATTTCCCTTTTGGCCTTTTCAAGAGAAGCCATATTGTGACGCGACCCGTTCGTGGCCTCAGAGGTTCCTTCCGAATGCTTAGCTTCTCGCGTCAAAAATTGGGTGCGTTTAGCAGGTGTTGGTCTGGAAACTGGACTAGCTAAGTCACTACGACTAGACAACGAACTAGTGGACTCGGCCTTGATGGAATTGCCCTTTAATTTCATTTTATTAATTAAAACATCGTTAAATACTGCTTGCTGAGCGGTTCCATCAGCCTTTGGAGTACTTGATCTCGAGGAGTCGCTCACAATATTTCCGTTGACCATGTACGCAGCAGGGCACGTCCTTGAGTTATCCCGCTGATTAATTTTCTGTCTCCAGACGACATTTATTTGTCCGATCCGATCGTTTTCATTGACATCCGATTGAGGCGAAGGAGCTTCTACTTTCTGGCTTGCAAAGGTAAAGTTTTGTTCTCTGTTTATTTGTGCTTGAGGAGATTGTGCGTGATACGTGGCAGGAAGTGGAGGCAACGATACAGAATGAATTTGAGACAAAACCTGAGAATCCGCAATCGATGTGCTCGGTGATGACAAAGGCATCACTGTGGACTGTCTGGTTTGGGACAGAATAGCACGGATACCTTGGCTCGCTGTCGTGCATTTGTTCAACTGATTTTGACTGCCACTGGGAGATTCGCGGTGTAAGTTTTCAAAGGAGTACGAAAATGGACGATGATCAGCAGGAGAAACTATCAGTCTTCGTTCTCTGGGAGGTGGAGGAGGAGGCGTAGCTCGAGATTTGCCAGGGTCACTGGAGGGTGGAGTGTTGGGTTTGTTGATGTCGCAGTCATAGGAGACACTTCTATGATTCTTTAGGTCACCCATACTCAACGTGTCACACGGCAGTCGTCTATTAAGCGACATGTTCCCGTTGTAATCCCCCAGGGTAGATCTGAAGCCATTTTGATTACTGTTAGAGTGCGCAGTATTTTTGATGTGGACCGAATGAAAATGCCTCATCTGCGCAATATTCTGGCGAGAAGTGTCTGGCATTCCGGTCGCAATGTTGGCTCGACGACTCGAGTCGGGAGTTGCTGGTGGCGTTTGCAAAACGACGGAATCAAATTCATTTGATTCTTGATAGACAACGTCAGCTGACCATCTCGGCTTTGGAGGTTTGTGAGGTTCTTGTCCACTCTTTTCTTCGTCTGTTTTTCTGTTTCTTTCAGATTCAAGCTTTTGAAGTTTCTGAATTTCCAAAATTCTAGCTTGGACTGCAGCCTTATTCTTTTTGTCTTTCTCGGTCTCATTTCGCAAGGTCTCGAGCTCGTGAGATTTCCTACGCAAGTACCTCTCCGTTCGTGCTGCCTTAGATCGTCGAGTTAACGACCCAGTTCTATTGAGACTGTGCCCACTTCCGTACATCGATTGAGAAGAAATAGATTTTTCGTCCTCATCAGAACTAGAATCACGCACTTTCGTACGGATACTTTCAGCTCGGGTTTTCAATGCTTGCCGACGCTCTTTCCTAGCAACATTATCGATACTGGAGGATCGTTTGCTCAAAGTGCTAGGATGATCGTTGTTAGAGCTGAAGAACTGCCCGGCTAAATTGGGCATAATTGAATCATGCGAGGCTGAAACAGCTTTCTTACTAAGTTCTCCTGGAGCTGGAATAAGAACAGGAATTCCCAAAGGCTGCCCCAAAGATGCGGTAGAGTTGTTGTTGCGTGCTAGGATTTTTTCAGGCGCGACTCTAACTATGGTGTGTCCATCTCGAGACACGGTGAATCTAGATGAAGGACGGGACGTTGACGATGTAGATATGGTCGCCCCTGTTGGGCTTGCTTGCGTGGGGGGTATAGCTTTAGTTTTCTGTTCGTCGCCACTGCTTGGGGAATCTTTCGAATCATTTTTCCGGCGTTTTTTGAACATTTCCAAGAGGGAACGCTTGCTCTTCTTTTCGATGGAATTTTCATTTCGGTCTTTTGACTGATAATTTTCTGGTGTGGAGTAACGAACTGGTTTTCGTTGCATTTGACCATTTTCAACCGAGGTGGGCAGAGGTTGTTGTGGCCTTTGAGGTTTGTTGTGAGGTGTTGAATGAGCCGCAGGGTTGGAGCCCGCATTGAAGGGTTGCTCAAGAGGAAGCGCTCGTGGCGAAACAGGCTGTCGATTTTGAGGAAGTATTTCAGTGTGCCTTTTATCTTGAGCACCAAGATCATCTCGAGATGTTCCACCGTTCATGTAAAATGATGCTGGATTGAATCCATCCTGGCAGTGCAGTGCGCGAACAGAGGCATTAGGATTGATGGGTACGCCATTGGAATTTCTGGTGGGCGTTGGACTTCTGTTGGCAAACGCTTCTCGAAAAGAAGTTTGCGGGGTAGAATGAGGGTTCGGTCGCACGTAATATCCTGGCAATGATTTTGTCTTCTGATGAAGATCTTTAGTGTCGTACTTGGTTTCACTCAACGGATACTGACTAGCAGGCGGATGGCTAACGTGCTGCGAGTGAAGTGAAACAGAGCATTGAGTTTGGGGTAACCGTAGCGTGTGGTTGGGTGACTCATAGCTGTTGTGTTGATGGAATGGGGGAGTGGAGGGATGATGATGGAGTGGCAGGTGTTGAAGTGAGCCGTGCTGGGGGATGACAGCGTTCGTAGATAAAGGTTGCTGGGATGACGGGTGTTGGCGTGAGCCGGGCTGGGTGATGATGGGGGAGGAGGAGGACGAAGAGAAGGGCGAGGTCCTGACGAAGGGATGACTCCCGTCGCCCATTCCGCCCGCCCCTCCCCTCCTCACCTGCCGTCCCCCGTTACTCTGGATGTTCTGAAAAATAAAAAATAGTATAAATATTAAGGCTTTTAAATAAATTAGAAAAAGCAATACAAAACTTCAAGCAAAGTGATTTAATGCAATGAGCAACGCAACGAGAACGAATCGAAATGTTTTATCATCCGGTGTTAAAAAATTAAAATAAATTTATAACGGTACAGAACCAACAGGGTAGACTTTAGGCAACAATTTATTCCACGAGGTTTAATATTAGCGCATCAAAGCTCCCTAAATAACCCCCGCCCTCGCCCATTTGTTTAATGCACTGCAGCGCGAGAAGGTCGCGCAGCCTAAACTATATCAGATGGTTTATAAACCTGCTTTGGTTAGGGCCAGCGGGGAAAAAATTAGGCGGAAAATCAATAGAGATCAACGTAGACACCGCAATGGTAGCGAAGCAAACGCAGGTAATTAAGAAGACGCCACTTCACGTAATTCTTCTCATCCGTTTTGATAATTCTTCACATCCGCAATTCTTCACATCCGTTTTCTGCATAAATATAATATTATTATGAGCATGCTCCAATTAAGAATAACAACAGCGATTGGTACACACACGTAGAAATGAATGCCAAGCAAAACCACAACTGGCGAGAGCATCAAGCAAGCAATGGCTAGAGCGACGACCCGCGAACTGCGCGCGCGACGTCACCGAAACAAGCGCCTTCACTCTTATAGACTTGGCCGCGCCTCGGGCTCTACAGCCCCTGCTGTAGGTGTCATCATAGTCCGTTCCTCCCAAAACGTGGGTGTCGTCAACGCACGCTATTAGCCTATGGATGTAGTCATCGCATGCTATTAGCCACCATGAAGGTTGTCACTGCACGCTATTAGCCTATGGATGTAGTCACTGCACGCTATTAGCCTATGGATGTAGTCACTGCACGCTATTAATGCCTATGGATGTTGTCACTGCACGCTTTTAGTCTATGGATGTTGTCACTGCACGCTATTAGTCACCATGAATATTGTCAACGCACGCTATCAGCCACCATGAAGGTTGTCACTGCAAGCTATTCCCCCGCCATGGGTGTTGTCAACTCTCCCACCGCATCGTGTCTGCTTGTACTGAACACTGTTAACAGCGTCCAGTGATGGCGACTGGCACTGTACACTGTAAACGCGCAGTGTGCAGCATGCACTGTACACTGTAAAGTGTGGACTGTAAACAATGCTTCTAGAACTCAGTTAAGCGCACCACTATATATAGCAGCACGCAAATGTTGCCAAAGTCATGAAAAATGTTCAAGTAATTATTTTTACATCGCGCAAAAATGTTTACTGCTCAACATAAGTAATCAGGCAAAAAATGTTCACTGCTCAACATAAGTAATTAGACAAAAAAGTTTTTAGTGCTCAACATAAGCAATCAGGCAAAAATTTCAGACTTTTGCCACACGTCAGCCAACTGGCCATAACGTTTACCTTCAAGTATAAACGGTACAATTATTATCTCAGTAAGTAAGACATGATGAAAGTAAAATAACTCAAGTAGGGTCAATATGTAATATTAGTGGGACGTGGTAGTATTTTGATGTGCGAGTCGAAACAGGTTACAAAAAGATAAGGAATTACTGTTGCACACAAGGACCGCGTCATGGGTGCAGTCACTATACACTGCAAACATATAGGGGGAAAGCTGTTCCTGGTTCGCTACATTATACATCAGTGTAGCATGCATCTGAATGTTAATATCGTCATGGTCAGTCAGAGACTCGCATTTTTGTGGTGTATTCACGTTCAGTTGTATATGCAATGTTCATCGCAAAAACTGTAAATTATCGAGGCATTCAATGTAAAACGAATCATCGCGAGTAGAACTTGCACTTCGAGCCGACGACAACCCATGTGAAGATGGATGGCGCAGCCTTCGATCAGCACGAGTCTTTTAATCTCAAGTAGCATCCGTAAGATTTTATCGAAGGCACTCAAACGAAGACAAGCGTTGCTGGTATTCTAGTTTGCCATCAATAAATTAGCTTGCGCGAGTGCCAGCACTAAAAATAATCCCAGCTTGAAAGAGCATCGAAAGACATGACCGCGACCAAGTCGGCAAACGCTTCATGAACCTTCGCTGCTGCTGGCAACTAATACATGCTTTAATGAGGCTGAGAAGACTGCATGATTTAGTCACTTGCATGCAAGCCAGTCTTTACATCGTCACTTGTAATTCCTCGTCGTCATATCTTTTTAAATCAGAGTTTTATTCCAATTATTCGCCATGACCTAATATAGTCTCCTTGCCATAGGCTCATATATAATTATCTCCAGCCCTGCAGCATTTACTTATGCTCTCCACCTAAACAAAGAATCCGAAAATTACTCGTACAAAAAAGACTTGCTTAGCGAGAAAGTCGGCAGAAATGTCAGTGGAAATAAATGTGCAAACCCGAGCAAGAATTTCCTGTTGGACGTACACGAAAGAAGCGAAGGTATTTGATGACGCTGAGACCGCGTTACCGAAAGCATGAGAATAGACGTCGGGCTTCAGCGTCGCATGTAGCTGTAGACTCGCGGGCACAATTAACATTTTTGCACTGTTAACACGTGTGCACTGTTTACAAGCGTGCACTGTTAACAAGCGTGCAATGTTTACACGTGTGCACTGTTTACAAGCGTGCACTGTTAACACGTGTGCACCTGTCTCTTATACACATCTAGATGTGTATAAGAGACAGTAGAGACGCCGTGACACACTTCGTTAGACACCTCAAGTAGCAGTGACACGTAGTGACGCAGTGAAACGGACACACCAAGCGGCAGTGACACGTAAAGACGTCGTGACACAATTCGTGACACAACTCAATTAGCAGGCAGTGACACGTAGTGACGCAGTGACACACTTCGTGACACACCAAGCGGCAGTGACACAATTTTTTCTATAGCTTGTTAAGCAGTGACACACTTCGTGATATTTACTGATATGAGTGATATACCAAGCGGCAGTGACACTTCGTGACACACCAAGCAGCAGTAACACGTCATGGCGCAGTAGAGTCAGAAACCTCGGTAACCTTAAACTTTTAATCACATCATTTTAATCGCATTTCAAAATCACAAAATTCTATACTTTGAATTCAATGAAACATTTTGTAAATGAGCAACAGCGCATAGGTAAATCCTCTGTAAAAAAAGAATAATTAATAATACGAACACAATATTTACTTTCTGTTGCAAATCTTAGTACACTTTAAAGTTTGGAAAAGTAGCAGCCCCAGTTGTTAGTTTAAAGAAAAATGCACCTGACTATACCAACTCAAATTCGCATTCTCATACACTCATTATTTTTCTTGCTGTATCTTTTTCTGTTTGATGCCAATTTGTATGAGTGTGACTCGTGTGAACTGCACTTATATAGAAAAATTGTGAAACGTCATAGTTATGCCCAAAATTTGTGAAAGAAAACTTGAGCAATAGCAGAAAACGGAAAACAATTTCAGCGTAAACAATCACGACTTTACATTCTGCTCGGCAAATCATGACAGTGACATGAGCTCAAATACAAACTCTTTCTGCAAAAGTTCATTACAGTCCTACAGTCTACAGATTACATTAAATCACATGATCAAGATAAAAACAGCTCAAATTAAGGACGCAAAACATAAATACCGGTCAAGTGCACTTAAGAAAACTTCGCGAAGAAAAAACATAATAATTTCATCAGTACTTAGAATTTTGCCTGAATAACCAACACGGAAGTCAAAGATGACAGAATCGTTTCCTTAGCTGAAGATGCCGCTGAACAATTTTTAGCGAAAAAAAACAAAGGCAATGCACATAAGAGTACATGGAGTATTACATTAACAAAATTTGATACGGCACAATAGATCACGATTGCTGGCTTGAAGTAAACTCAGATGCCGGGCGCCGGGCGGCAAGCTCGACAATCGATGGCCCAGTCTGGGTCATGTGGGCAAGGGCAAGGGCTGCATGATGAATGAGGGTACGAGAATATCAACGACAAAAATGCGGATTGTTAAAAGACCTGATACAGCAGTCAGTAGAGAAAAGGTAATGATATAAAATAAAAATAGCAAGAAACTATGCGAAAAAGCAATCGATGCATCATCAAAATTACCAAAGGCGATTATCACACTTGTTACTTTTAAAATTTCTGTCACTGTCAACTAATTGGCTTTTAATATCTGTATTAGCATTTAGAATGTTAGAATGAAACCTCATTTACTATCAGAAATATGGCCAGACACCTTAGGTAAAAACGACACAGTAAGCAAGGCAGCCTGTGTGTACAGTCTCACGGTGGTGACTCTAACGTTGGGAGTCAAGATACGAGCTCGATCATGTCACTGCCCTGTGCGTTGTTATGAGCGAGTCATCTGGGCATGCGTTGCGCACACGGAATTCAAGATGGCGTATCTTGGAAATCATAAACCCTCATCACAGATATTAAACTATTAAACTTCATCTGTTTAGATTTGAAAGTTCGTATTCCTGGTTTCGGTATCTATAAATTCAATTATAAATCTGCGTGAATTTCATTTAATAAACATCCCACTGATAAATAACATTTGTCGAAATAGTCCTATCCTGGTCACGAAATTTCAGATGCATTTTGTCTCAATTCCCATTGAACATTGAAAATGTTGTGTTGAACATTGAAAGTTTTTTTTTGCATAATTTATTCAGTCATGATTTGATATTGAAAATATTTTACTGCGTAATAAATTGATGCTTTTTAGAAGGCGTTGTGCAATAATAGAAATAGAACTTCCAACTCATTGAAGCAGATTGGTGCAGCCGGTAAAGGCGACAGTTGGGCTAGCGGTGCGGGCCCGATCATCGGAAATTCAGTAGCACCAAACCAAAGATAATCAAGATCAGCTTATCGCAGGCGCCTAACCTTCATTGACGAACATCAACGTGCTTAGCATTTTTTTTATTCACGTATTTACCCGAATCTTTAGTTCAATTTTGCCAGGATAGAAAAATTACTCCGGGTCGGTATCCACTACACGAGCGGCGTCAATGAAAAA